ACCTCAAAGGCCATGGAGTCCAAATTCTTAATTTTATAGATAAGGAAACTGAGGCCAAGAGTGTTAATGAAATCACAGATCCAGAGCTAGGAAGCACCTTGAAAGCTTCCCAGTTCAATACCCTAATTTTCCAGATGAGACTGAGGTCTGCAGAAGCAAAGGTACTTGCTCAGTCAGGGTCACACAGCCAATAAGGGTCAGAGGCAGGACTAGGGCTCAGATCTTCTTGCCTCTAAGGTAGGCTCTCTACTCCTTACTCCAAATTTCCTCTTTCAAGGCTTACTTTAGCCCCACAAAGTTCATCCCCCCCTGTCCTCCAAATTCAGCCCCTAACTCTGTGATAAAATTACTCTGAATTTAGCAAAGTTGCTCTTCAAACAACAGAAAATTCATCCATCACTGGGCCGACATTCAAAGTTTCTTTTGAGCTTGGTAGGACCTTTGAGAACTCATTCTCTACTTGGCATAGTCTTAGAAAACCCAAGCTCACCTCCATTCCACAAAGAATTACCAGAAGACTTCACTAGAGATTTCTAGTCATGTAAACACACACACACACACACACACACACACACACACACACACACACAAACATTAGGAACCTGGCCTTCTCCTTCTCCTCCAAGGACAATTTTACCTCCTCTTCCTTTTTTTTTTAATCTTTGTTTTTTTTTGTGGAGGAGTGGGGTCTGGACCTTTGATTTCATTTGCATGGTAGAACTGCCAGTGTGGTGACTCCCTTCCCAGGTTAATATTAGCAATTTAGAGCATAGAGCATTGTTCAAGGGGTTAGAGAGAGGTTACCTTTGGAAGGTAGGTGGCAGACTGGGTAGAGCAATGGACCTGGAATCAGGAAGAAGTGATTTCAAGTCCTTCCTTTGCATTTACTATCTGAGTGACCCTGGACAAGACAAATAATCTCTCTCACCATCAGTTTTCTCATTTGTAAAGTGGGAATAATAAAAGCACCTATCTCACAGGGTTGTCATGAAGCTTAAAAGAGGAAACATATGTAAAGCATTTTGCAAAGCTGAAAGGGCTAAATAAATGCTACTACTTTTATTGTTATTATTGTTATTGTTGATACATTAGTTGACTTGCCACAGTCACCCAGCTAGTCTATCAGAGGCAAAATTTGAACCCAGGTCTTCCTGACTGCAAGGCTGGCAACCTATCCATTCTGTGTGAAGGCCTCTCAGTGTACCAATAACTTATTGATACAAGTTTTTTTTTTAAATCAGAGACTTTTTAAAAAGTATTTTTATCCTCAAATATCTCTTAAATAGGCATATCCAGTTTTCAAACAGAGAAGAATTGGCATTAGCAGAAACTGTTCTCAGTGGCTGGTAGCTGGGTCAATGATCAGGCACATCCTTCACCCTTGGCACTGTGCAGTGACATCTGCTCTGTGTGGCTTCTGGATGTCTTAGAAAAGAGTGCCACTTATTACATTCACTGAGATTTTTTTCTTGGGAGCAATTTAGTATTTGCAAACACTAATGTATAAATGTGGCAGTGTAAAAGCCTGCATGGAATGTCATTTCCTTGTCTGAACTGGCTGTGTTGAGATGGAAGAACAGGTCACCACTGGGTCTGAGGCCAGTGGACCTCGATTCAAAGCTGGACCCTTCACTAATTGGCTGACCTTGAAAGTCACTTAACCTGAATGGGCCTCAGTTTCCTCATCTGTAAAGTTGAGGATTGCCCTAGAAGATTCTAAGATCCTTTTCAACTATAAATCTATGACTCTAGATACAGGCCCAACATTACTTGGAAGCAATTAATAAGAGCTGATATTTACGGAGTGCTTTATAATTTGCAAATCATATCCTATCCATTTTCTTATTTGATCTCCCAATAGCCCTGTAAAATAAATCATCTATGTTTTGTTATCATTCCCATTTTACAGATAAGGAACCTAAGGCTCAGAGAGATTAGTACATGGTCCTGTATGTTCTTCTGATTCCAGATCTAAAAACCTAGTCAATTCACCAGCTTCCTGGCTGCACAGAAATCACCCTTTATATTTATATGATGCTTTATGTTTGCAAAGCCATTGATACGTGTTCTCTCATTTTAACCTCATAAGACTGATGCTGCAATTAGACAGAGAAGTAAACACTATGAAAACCAAGGTCTCCATTATACAGATGAGGGAACTGAGACACAGAGGGGTTAAGTAACTCTCCCATGGTAAGTGGTGTGCTGGTAAGCATTTAACAACTGGTGCACCCCAAAATATATACTCATGACACACTTTTACGTTTAATCTCCATTCATCACTTTCTTAAGTCTAGGCAATAAACAAAACAATCAGTACAGTCCTGATTTATAGCATTTGTCAATATCTAAGGTGTAAATGTTCATGCTAAATATGGAACAGTCTGTTCTCTTGAGCTGGCTCAAGCTGGCTCCAGCATAGCCCTGCTAGAAAGTATCAGAGCAAAGATTTGAACCCAGGTCTTCCTGAATCTAAATCCGGCATTCTGTTCGCTAGATCAAGACACTGAATGCACATTAAAAATGCAGTCACTTCTTAGTAAGTCCAAAGAATTTTTTAAAAATTGAGCACTGTTGCACCCTGTCACTCCCCAAATTAGTAATATTCAGGCAGTGGCTTCCTCACCCCCAAATAACAGAAAAGTGTGCTTTATTTATTTTGCATATGTTTCCCCCTGTAGAATACAAGCTACTTGAGGACAGGAATTGTTTGCTGTTTTGCTCTAATTATCTGGTACAATTCCTAGTACATAGTGGGTACTTAATAATTACTTATTGAATGACTGTTTGAACAGACACATTTTGAAAAGGATCATGGGTTCATAGCTCTTCTCTCTTAGAAGAGATCTTAGAGTCCATTTCCTTCAATCCCTTTATTTTGCAAGTAAAATGTGTTATGTACCAGTTAAACACCAAGGGCCTCCCTTGAATCTAAACCCATTTTCTCAAAGAAACTAGAAATCTGCCTTCAGAGTTGGTAGTGGACTCAGGTACAGGATTTAGGCCATTTTAACTTTAGACACATCCTCAAATCAAGCCTTTAAAAATAAAAACAGAACTTTCACTCTATATTACATCAGAAAATCTAGAGCAGATGTACTGTGGTACATTGAAAATATCCCTGGCTCTGGAGTCAGAAGAGGGATTCAAATTCCTTCTCTACCACTTACTACTACTACCTGTGTGGCTGTGAGACACTCATTTAATTTCCCGTCCTCATCTTCAAAATGGTTAGTTGGATTGAACAGCTTTTGACTTCTTTTCCAGACCTAATTCTATGATCCTATATTTAAAATTTCATGAAATTAGTGGAGATTCATTATATACTAGTAAAACACCAAGTGCAACTCTAGAATCTGAACCTATTTTCTCAAAGGCACTCAAAATTTGCCTTCAGTCAGTAGTAGACCCAAGAACAAAGTCTGACATCCCCCGAACAACTCAAAATCATGTGATATGAGAGGTTTAGAAGGGCTCTTCGTGGCTCTCTAGCTCACTTGTTCAACATAGGAAGTGAAAGCTGTTATTGCAAGATGGGTGGCCCTCTGCTTTTGGATTAACCCCTTCTGGTCCATGTTCCTCCTTCTCCTCTCCTCTTTGCCTCTTGCAAACTTTTCTATCCCTCCAGGACTATTTTGGGCTACTACAGTGATCAGATCATTCTATCCCACAATGACCAAATTCTTTTCTCTGGACTTTTTGTCTTCTTTGCCTTCTTCTGGTTAATTATCTTTTTATGCATGTCCTGTCTCACCGTTTGCCATCAGTGCTTTTAAAGTCAATTGTATAGATTGTAAAGTCCTTGAGGAGAGGACTATGTTTTATGCTTCTTTGTATCCTTCATAAAACACATTACAAGTACTTATAAACTGCTGACAGTTAGCTAATTGGTAGATATATCTTTTACAAAAAGTAAAATTGGTTTTTGCTTGCCTCTAAAAGCTATGACCAATCTTTCCCAAACAAAGAATCGCATTGATGTATTTTTAAATCTATTTATTCCCAGCTCTTTCTGATATAAAGCTATAGATTCGAACATTTTTCATGAAGCTCCCAAACTGGGCTGATTTCTAGTATTCGTCTAGCTTGATAAAGTAAATATTGAATAGAATTACATTTTGATTATTAGCAGCTATGAATAATGAGGGATAAATTCATTCAGAATTAAACAGCATCTTCTGGAATCAGAAAACTTGATCAGGAGTCTCCATAGAGGCATTGCACAATGAAACCAGATTTATTAGTTCTGTGAGAAAAAGCCTTTTTGTTTATTTTTAAGTCCTATTATTAATCATTAGCCAAGCCTTGTAGCAGCTTCTAGCAAGAAAGAAGGAGAAAGTGTTTCAAGGGTAGAGGGTCTTAGCCTCAAGCCTTTCTTGCCTAGCTCCACAGGACTTAACTGAATCAGAACCATCTGGAGGAGAAATCAAGAAAGAACTCCAGTGTCTGAGGAGCTCCTGGGGGCTGACTAATTACGATGAAGTACACAGGACCACCCCTGCTCATATTCTTCAGTGTCTCTGTCCCTCCCACCCCTCACTCCAGTCAAATTCAACTTGAGCCAGAAGGTTCAGGAAAATGTGAAACGGATTCATAAGTAACCCTTCCTATGCCATGAGAAATGGAGCAATCGAAGGACTCGGGGTAAAGAAGAAACCCCCAGATACGTTGTCGAGACAGAAGAGACAGCCTGCCAAGGAAAACAAAGGACAGCGGGTCTCAGTCTCCCTCTCCCTCCACTCTCCCCCCAGTCTCCAGCAAAACTTTTCATCCCTTCCCCAAGAGTGGAGAACGAATCCCCACCTGAATCCATTCTACCATCCATCCACCTCCCTCCTGGGTCTCCAAGTGGCATCTCCCTCTAGTCCTACCCCTAGTGGGTTTTGGAGGAGGGAGTTCAGGAAGAATCTCGAGAGCAAGGGGTTGGTTCAATCTTGCTTGGAGTGTGTGCGCTAGTGTGTGTGCATGTGCATATGGAGGAGGACGGGGGTGGGAATCACCTTATGATCCAGGACGCTGATGTATCCATCCATGAGCCGCCCACCCTGAGGAATTCCGGGGCGCTGCAGAGACTGCCCCAATTGTCCGTTGCTGCCTGCCAGCCCCAAGCGCCGGAGGCTCTCCGCTGCCGGTTTGCCGCTGGCCCCAGCCGCTGCCTGCTCCTGCTCCCGTTGCTGGGGGGGTTCCTTCTGGCCGCCACCGAGGCCGCTGTACATGAGCAACAAGCTAGTACACATGGTGGTGAGCGCTAGACACACAGCCAGCCCATGGCGCTGTGAGAGGAGAGAGAGAAAAACAGCGCTCAGCTTGCTCTGCTCTTAGCTGAAGAGCGACGCGGGTGGAGTCAGAACCCCGGAGAGCTCCAGAGCCAGGAGCTCCGGTGGGGTCAGCACCCAGGAGAGCTCCAGCGGCTGGTGCCTGCTCTGTGCTCTGCTCTCCCTGAGTGTGTGCTGCCGGCCGGCCCTACAACCCTCCCTCAGGGAGCCGGCACAATCCTCTCTTGTGCAGCAGAAGATGCTCCCGGCCCGGCTGGGCTCGGCTCGGCTGGGCTCGCTGCTGCCGCCGCCGCCACTGCCTCTCGCTGCCTGGCTCTCTCGGCAGGGGTCAGGTGGTGCTTGGCCATCCTGGCCTGGAGGTGGCAGGGGCTGGGAGGGGGTGCTCAACTGGGACCTTAGAGGGCCAGGGAGGACTGACCAAATGTGTGCCTTCGTCTCCTGCTCCTTTCCACCCGCCTTGGGGACACCAGATTCTCTCTCTCTCTCTCTCTCTCTCTCTCTCTCTCTCTCTCTCTCTCTCTCTCTCCTCTCTCTCTCCTCTGTATCCATCTATCACTGCTGCTCTTTGCAAGTTTGGAACCCGTCTGGAAAACCGAGAAAGTCTTCAGGGAACTCTCACCCCCTCCTCCTTCCTCTTTGTCCGCCCCCAACCTGTTTCCCGAAGCTGACCCTCCCCCATTTCCTCTTCCTCTGCCTCTTTTCCACCTGCCTTTTGGACATCCCACCCTGGACTGTAGGAAGAGCGTAGGTACCTGAGTTTCACATTCCTAGTCTTCTCTTCACTAGGCTGGAAGCTACAGCAGAGGCGGGGACCGGGGGCATGCGTGTGTGTGTGTGTGTGTGTGTGTGTGTGTGTGTGTGTGTGTAAACACACACATTATTAAAGCAGGTGGAAAGTTGTCCCTTGGAAAATGAGGCGCCCGCGGAGCCGGGGCTCGCGGTTGCGCGCCTTGCGCTCCCGGCCCCCGCTGCCCCTTCCCCAGGGGCCGTTGCTCTGCCCGGGGTCCCGTCTCAGCCCCCGCCGGGAGTTGGGAGCGCCGACTCACCATCAAGGTCTTCATTTTTGGACCCCTCCTCCGCACAGAATCCTCAGGCACTGGCGTCCGGGGCCACTTTTTCTCCTCGGGTTTCCATGGCCAGGCAAAGTGGGCACGGGGGTGGTGGTGATGAGGAGGGTGGGGTGGGGGTTTGGGGACCGGCGGCAGCCTGCGGAGGAAGTGGCGGCGGCGGCGGCGGGGCTATTCCGGCCAGGTAGCGAACGAGCTGGGCTTGGGATGGGGAAAGCGCTGCTGTTGCAGAGATTAGAGACAGAATTAAAACTGAACTGGACCCTCTTAGTCTCTTAGTGATCTACACAACTGCCGCCTGCCGCTGCCTGCTGGGTCCTAAAACCCTCTTCATCCCTCGCCGTACAAAAGGGGGAAATCACATCTCTGCAGCCTAGGATTTGGGGAGCTGGGAAGCTAACTTGGGCCTCATTCCTTCCAGTTCTTTCTTTTACATTGGCACACACACGGAGGTAACAATTGCTCCGTTTTAAGGAAATCGTCCAATAAACAGAATTGGGAGAATTGGCTTTTTTTCTCTGGGTGATAGACCAGAAGCAGGCTAGCTGCTTCGTGCTGTGTTAATTCAGCAAACAGAAGCAAACTTCCCAGGATGTGGAAGACGAAGGCGCCTGCAGTGCCCAGTACGGTGGAAAGAACAATGGGCTCTAGAGTATGTGGACCTGGGGTCAAATTCCACCTCGGACACTCATTCCCTCGGTGACATTGGCTAAGTCATTTAACCATCTTAGGCCTCAGCTTCCTTATCTGTAAAATGAGGAGGTATGCACTACCTGGCCTCTAAGGTCCTTTCCAGAGGGATGAGAATAATAAGGCTGAGGAGGAAGAGGAGCACAAGAGGCAGCAGCAATAGCAGCATAGTATGGCTAGATAAGGAGCCTAAGAACAAGGAAGACCCGAGTTCAGGAGCTGCCTCTGACAGCCACTGTGTGACCCTGGGCAAGGTCCTAGCCCAGAGGACAGCACCCCCTGCCTAATTTCCCTATTCTCACTCTCAATAGGGGGTTTCCTAGAGGGTGGCTGGCCACAACTCTCTCTTGATTTTCTAGGGGTCACCCTGAAGGTTACTGAAAGTTTCTAGCACTCTTGTCCACCAGCCTCATCAGAGTGCTTCTCATCAAACTGAGAAGTGGTTTGGCCACAGAGGATAGACTTCTGGAGTCAGGAAAATCTGGATTCAAATTTCACTTCAGATACTTAATAGCTGTGTGACCCTGGGCAAGTTCTATCATCACCATCATCATCATCATCATCACTACCATCATCATCACCATCATCATCATCACCATCATCACCATCATCATCATCATCATCATCATCACCACCATCATCATTATCACCATCACCATCACCATCACCATCATCACCATCATCACCATCATCACCATCATCATTATCACCATCACCATCATCATCACCATCATCATCACCATCATCACCATCATCATTATCACCATTACCATCATCACCATCATCATTATCACCACCACCATCATCACCATCATCATCATCATCATCATCACCACCATCATCATCACCATCATCATCACCATCACCATCATCACCATCATCATCACCATCATCACCATCATCATTATCACCATCACCATCATCACCACCATAATCATCATCATCATTTATATAGCATTTTACAAAGGTTTGCTGAGTTCTCAAGGAACCCATAATCTAATGGGGACACAACATGCAAAGTACTGTGTGCAAGCGAGCTGCTTGCAGGGTAAATTGGAAACTCATTTTGTCCTTACAGCAATCCTAACAGTTGGATGCTTACCATTTTACAGATAAGTAAGCTGAGGCAGGGGCAGCTAGGTGGTACCACAGTGCACAAGCACCAGGCCTGGAGTCTGGAAAACTCTTCCTGAGTTCAAATCTGGCCTCAGATACTTATTAGCTGTGTGCCAATAAACAGCTGGGCCCAACTGAAAATAACAAGAGCAACGAACCAAAACAGAGTTAAATGCTTTCCCAGGGGCACACAGGTAGTGTTCAATCTTGCAGCATTGCCACATGTTACATAATAGTTCTATATATAGATATATATGTCTATATATATATCTATATATATATCTATATATATCTATATATATATCTATATATATATCTATCTTACTTCATATACATGTTTATACACGTATATGTTAGATGTATGCATACACGTATCTATATATGGGGCAGGTAGGTGGCACAGTGGATAGAGTGCTGGAGTCAGAAAGACCCAAATTCAAATCCAGCCTCAGACACTTACCAGCTTTGTGACCCTGGGCAACTCACTGAACTCTGTTTCCCTCAATTTCCTCATCTGTGAAATAAGCTGGAGAAGGAAATGGCAAATCACTCCAGTACTTTTGCCAAGAAAACCCCAAAAGGGGCCACAAAGAGTCTGACATGACTGAAAAAGGACTAAACAACAAAACCCAACATATCTTCATATAAATATGTACACATTTGTCTATATGTATGATGTATAAATACACATACATGTGTATATTCATATACATCTACAGCAGCTAGGTGGTGCTATTGTACATACAGCACCAGGCCTGGAGTCAGGAAGGCTCATTTTCCTGAGTTCAAATCTGTCTTCAGACACTTATTAGCTGTGTGAATCTGGGCAAATCACTGCACTTTGTTGGCCTCAGTTTCCTCATCTGTAAAATGATCTGGAGAAGGAAATGGCAAACCACTCCAATATCTTTGTCAAGAAATGAGGTCATGAAGAGTTGGACAGGACTAAAAACAACCAACCACAGCAACAATAGACGAGACATATACATATGCATGTATATGTGTGTGTATACATGCACATACACACACATATATAAAACAACTCAACAACAGCAGTACAGGAGACATACATATGCATATGTGTGTGTATACACACACACACACACAGTATGTATATGTACATATATGGTACCTGAGTTCAAGCTCCACCTCTGACTCATCCCAGCTGTATGACCCTGGTCAAGTCACTTAAACTCTCAGTGCCCCCAGGCCACTCAAGAAGCCTGTAGAAACTGACCTATATTGGGTTTTGTGCCGATAGAGGGAGTTCTATGTATGTGTCTGTAATGTTTGCCTCCTGATTTTCCATCTGTCATGGACACTCTTTCTCAGCTATATTTATTCTTAATTTGTATCCTTTTTTGCCCTCTTCCTCCTCCCACATGTGAACAGTTCTCAGGTCCCTGGAAGCTGTAGAATTCTCTAGTTCCCACAGTTCTTATCTTTGAAAGCTTCATCTAAATTATTTGCACTCACTACTTGCTGCGTGAAGCCCCTTCATGCCCAAGGCTCCAGCCCCACCTGGACTTTCAGTGGCATGTAATGCTCATTTTCCATTCTCCATTGAAATTAGTTTAAAGTTTTTGAAACATTCAGCCCCTTCCTTCCCCATTATTAACAGGGCCTGGAGACTCTTTTCTCTATTGCATCTTTCTGTCTGCTGCAGATAAAATGGTTCATATTCTCATTTTAGAAGAACTTTAGGTCCTTATTGTTTCCTCTCTTTGAACCTGCTTGCATGAATGGCTCAAAGGCCCTCTGTGAAAACTTTTTTTTCTTTCAAAAGCCTTTTTAATTATTGTTTTGTGCTGGGAAATTCCCATTGAGAGTTTGCTTTCAGGTTGATGTCTGTGCCAGTTGAAAATGATAGCATGTATGCAATTATAATGATAAAGCATGGTCCTGAAGAAGAAAAGGGAAATGGCCTCTGTCCCTCCCTTGCAGAGGTCAGGAACTATGGGGATGGAACATGGTAGGTGTTGGGCAAGTCTGCAGATGCACAGGCTGGTCTTGCTGAGCTTCTTTCTGTCTTTCTGGTGTGTTCTTTGGTACAATGGGTGGTTCTGAACCAGGCAGGAGCTCTTCATCTCTTTGGTGTCCTGGACTCTTTTGGCTTTCTGCTCAAGCCGAGAGTCCCCTTAGTTGAAGAATTTTTAAAAATACAATCCATAGACTACAGAGGAAAACAATTTTACTGAAATATAGTTATTAAAACTATTTTTTAAAAACCCTAGAGTTCATGGACCCCAGGTTAAAAGCTCTTGTTTCATAGACAAGTAGAAGGAGAAGGATCTATTTAGAAGTAAAGATGGTATAGAAACAAAAGATAGCAATAATTTTTAAAAGAAAATGATAGCATGGTGCTGACAGAAAAAAACATATTTATTCTGAAATAGTCAAAATAATTTTTTGTGGTATTACTGAACATCTCACCTATGCTAATATGATGCTAGAAATTTTGTTACGGTGGAGACGTTCTCATGGAGCCAATTAGGGTTAGGTTTGGGGTTAATTGTGCTCAAAGCCCCCCCCCAAAAAAGACATGATAATTAGTCTTCCCTCCCTTCCTCCCTCCCTCCCTCCCTTCCTTCCTTCCTTCCTTCCTTCCTTCCTTCCTTCCTTCCTTCCTTCCTTCCTTCCTTCCTTCCTTCCTTCCTTCCTCCCTTCCTTCCCAAATATTACAGAACTTAGAGAATTTATAGCTATGGAGAGCCAGGGTCATACACTCAGCATTTTCTCAGTAAGATGGTTAATACCAGTGTAGCAAGTTCTCTTGATGATTGGAAGAGTGAATGTGATTTACTCTTCCAAAAAAGACAGCCAGCTAGGTAAGCCAACGGACTGTTTCTGTAGTTTATGCTCTGGGTTTAGATGGAACCAGTGGCTCAGATGGGACCAGACAGCCATGGGATGAGAATGTGGCCAGGCCTTGGTAATACTTTACCGTGTAGCTGCACTTGACACTTAAATTAGTAAAAGGAAGGGCCAGGTTGATGAATCATTGAAAGCAAATTATCCCCTGGTTCTTCCAGACTACCTACAACATGCCACAAAAGGCAGCTCATGCATTTTGTAGGACTATTGCTCAACTCTCCAGCAAGTGGCACAGTGGTGGGTGGAGCTTTCCTAATACATTCATTCAGGCTGAAGAGGAGCTGCTTATTTAGGACTGAGGTAGATGGCTGTAAGGTAGACATCTGCTACAGAGGGCATCTGGTCCAATTCATGGAGCTTCATGGTCTCCCCTTTCCCTGCTCTGTGGCCAGTAGCTTCGTGATTGCTGAATCTACTGACAAAAAAGACTAAGTGTAAATTGAGCAATTTGATGCCAAGTTAGTTTGAATAATATCTGATCTTGAGTTCTTGGGTATTCCTCTAGAATGTAGGCTCTTAGGATCAATGATTCAGAGCTGGAAGAGACCTTCGATGTCATCTCCTTAAACCCAC